GAGATTGAAGCCTCCCAACAAAGAAAACCCCAGGATCAGATGGATTCATTTTCAAAGCCTACTAGAATTTTAAAGAAAAATTAACACCAATGTTCCACAAAAATAGGAAGAAGGGGGAGGGAGGGAGGGAGGGAGGGAAATAGGGAGAGAAGCAGATCCCAAATATAGTTCAGCACATCTGCCTAATAGCAAATGGAATAGGAATAAGGAGCCCTTTAAAGCCTCAACTGGGACCTGCACAAGATGCTAAGAGATCCTGGTGCAGCCTCCAGGTTTGAAGAGATCCATACAACTCTGGAGTCAGAGTCTGGAAGGAAAAACAGGGTCTCATGACCTCAAACCCAAGGCAAGCTCTCTCGTTCTGAGAGGACAGGAATATTCTAGGAAGGAATCATCTTCCCTTTGGGTAACTGCCAACGCTGGGCGGCGTTTTCTAAACATTCTGTCCTCTGGAAAAAGGATTAGGAGTCTCTGAATAGTTGTTGCAGTCACTGAGGAGAAAGGGAGGGATGGAGGGATAGAGAGGGGGAGCTATGGAGGAACGGAGAGAGGGGAGGATGGAGGGAAGAAGGATGCATCTCCCAGCAAGCGTCCTGTGCTTTGGGAATGGGGTTGGGAAAGCTGGTCTTCGCTCTACAGCACTTTCTCCCACTCCCCTCTGAAAATGCTAATTTTTCTAATAAACACACTCTAACTGGTGCACTTGCAAAGGATCACATTGCACATGAATACAAGTTTTGTGGCCTGGAGGATTTAGACAACCAAGAGACAGTAGGAACAGCTATTTTATAGAGTGCTTTCATGTTTTTTTCAGGGGAAATGACATCATTTTGGAGTAAAATGTTTAATTAATCAGATGTCAGCTCTGAGTATAGAGATGGGTGGCCCAGCAAGACAGGCCTACAGCATGTCAAGGGGTGGGCTGGCCTGGAACTTTCTATGTAGACCAGGTTGGTCTTGATCTCACAAAGCTCCAATGGCCTCTGCCTCTCTAATGCTGAGAGATCAAAGGTGTGCACCACCATGCCTGGTTTATCCTTAACACTTTTACATACTATCCTTCAATGAAGTAGAAATATTGTCCCCATTTTACAGATGGGAGCCTAAACCACTGAAGATAAAGTCACCTGCTTGGTAGCTTTTTGGAAAGGATTTAATTTGGAGTGACCACCGTCTTGATTTTGACAATCCTCCTGCCTCAGCCTCCCCAGTGCTGAGATTACAGTCATGGGTCATCATACCTACCTGGAGTAGTCACTTGAAATGGGACCCTGAATCAGAGCAGTGAAACCAAATTTGCACAAAAAGCAGAGAGTTTAAGGCCAGGGGATCTGAGGCTCAGTTAAAAGATAGAGGCAAACAGGGTAAGGATAGTGCTCCTAAGAGTAGGTACCCAAAGCAAGTCTGGAGAAAGCAAAGCTCTCAATGGCCTCCTCCCAGTCTCCACACTGCATAGACATGTCAGACCAGCAGCTTCTATTATCCACTCTGCCTAGAACTCCAGCAGAGAGAACAACCCAGCCCAACCCAAGAATCCAAAGAAGGCTCCAGAAAGCCACGAAAAGTTGGCTGTAACCTAGAGAGTCCTCACATGGTGCCAACTTTTCAAGTGCTTGGAGCCCCACCAGATCCTAAATTCTACTCTACCAGTAGAAAGGCTGCTATCCCCCACCGACCAGCCTGGCTGCTCCAGCGAGGGGCTGGCCAGCTTGGAGAAGGGGCTACATCATGTGCTTTCTCTTTCCTGCCCTCTAGCTTCTGCAGAGGTCTGCCCAGGATTTCTGAAAGTCCTAGAGACCCTCTTCATGGACTCAAGCGCCAATTATAACAAAGCCCTACAGTTTTTCAACCCTGATCCAGTCTTGCAAGATGCAGCAATGCAGTTGAAGAAGCTGGTGGACACACTGTCCCTAGAGACTAAAGGAAACAACTTGAAGCTCGCAGTATGTAGTATCCTTCACTCATACTGGTAGTAACTGACTTCCCCAAGCCCCTAAAGTATCCTCCCATTTTGAGGGTCACAAGGCTAACAGATACCCTGGTCATTTCCCCCACCTTCTTGTTTGTCTGTGTGTGTTTGCCCTGCCTACCTGGTTTTTAAAGTCCTGTAGCAAAAAAACTACAACCTAACAACCTTTATCAATTTTTTACTCATTGGCAGGCGGTGACACAGTATCTCTTTTATTCCCCACACAGCCTAGTTGTTTTAATGAAGGCTTTGAGGAAAGCATCCAAGGTCTTCCACTCTTAGTTCCTCTCAGAATTTACAATACCTTTCCATCTCTGTTAAGTGTCTGTATATCACTACTCCATCTAATTCTAATGTTTGCTAACTGTTACATTGGGCTTTTGTTTCTTTCCTTATTCTAGGACAAAATATTAACAAGTCTACAGTGTAAGCAGGATTTAGGAATCTGAAGCTCACTGGATTTTGAAGCCAAAGATACTCAACTTTTAAAGCCCTTCCCACTGCCCCGCTCCTCCTCAACCTCCTCTCTCACCACCACCAACCCTGCCTTCCTCTCCGTAATAAACTACTAGCATCTCACTTCCCTGCCTGCCTTGGTCTCCTTTTCATCTACCTGTTGGAGTGAGAAGGCTGGCCTTCACTGGGGTGAAGTGAGCCAGAGCAAAGGGAGAGCAGCTGAGCCCTGCCCTGTGGCCCAGGGGAGAACTCAGAAGGTCTTCTTCGAGGTCTCTGTCACTTACCACCAGCAGAGTTCAAAGCCCCTCCAGTGAGATCCTACCATCTACTCAACAGCTCTAACCCAGCTTGTCCAACAGTCTGCCTAAGTTATCCTCAGTCCCCTGCCCTGAGATATCCTGTCCCCTCACCCCAAATCTGGTCCTAAATGTCACTGAATTCTAGCTCCATCCTCTGGGCTGCACTGTTCCAGCCAGGAGGCTGATGGTCATCCCTTAGCTCTTCCCTGTCCAATCAACTGAGGGGACCTCTGGAATCATTCATTCCCTCCATATCCACAGGCCACACCACAGTTCCTACCAGTTATAACCCTAGAGGTCCCTCACAGACTCCCAGCTGGACTTACCTGCCCGGCAGTGCTATGTCCACCGCCCCACTACAGGGACTTTGGTCCTGTGCAAATCTTTAGCACTGTCCACCCTTGCCACATCCTTCAAAGTTCAGTACAAGGCCCATGCCTGTGTCCCACCCTCCTTCCAGCTTCTGCCTCCCTCCAGCTCAAACCACACATCCCCCCTCTCCCCTGCCCTCAGTTTTTAAGAGCCAAGCCCCTTCCCACCTCAAGACCCTGTACAGGCCACTCCGTATCTGCGACTCAAAAAGGATTGTTAAGAATATGTTGAGAATATGGTTTAGAACTTGTGAGACCCTCCCCCGAACCCTTCATCCCCCCCCAACGGAGCTATACCATCCACAGTAGCTGAATAAAAGTAAGGAGGGGGGCTGGAGAGATGACTCAGTGGTTAAGAGCAGAGGACCCGGGTTCGATTCCCAGCGCCCACATGGCCTGCTAACAACCATCCGTAACCCCAGTTCCCAGGGATCCGATGCCCTCTTCTGACCTCTACGAGCATTTACAAGACACAAGTGCACCTACCCATATGCAGGCATAACACTCATACACATAAAATAATAAAATATTTTAAGTAGGGAGAGGAGAGAGAAGGGGGAAGTGCAGAGGGGAAATAAAAATAGAAAGGACTGCACAAAAGAAGCGGACCGTGGAGGAGAGCACCAGCCGGGCTGTCCATCCAGTTCCAAGAAATCTCTTGGGCAGGGTGCAAGCCACACCTGCCTCACGCGCTCTGGCCACGAGAGGGCGGTGTCGGCCACTCTGTCCCATACCCCGGCTCATTCTGGGGCTCTAACCTCGCGGGCTTGGCTTCAAGTGGAGCGGATGGTGAGACATCCCTTTAGCAGCGCTCTTGGGTCTGGCGACTTTTAAGTTTTGATTTGGGGGCGATTTTTTTTTTTTTAATCCGACTTCTGAAAATAAAACAGGTGCAGTCACACAAACGGCGTTGTGGCTCAGTTTGGACCCTGCCAGTGACCGGTCAACCCCTTTGGGATTAGCAATAATCCCACCGCGAGGACCCCAAAGACCAACCTGACAGAATCTAGAATCTGAGATAGCCCCGAAGACAGAGGAGCAAGAATTGCTGGCGCTGACCTTTGATCTCTGCCTACCCGGTTTTTAAAGTCCTATAGCAAAAAACTACAACCTAACAACCTTTATCGATTGTTTACTCATTGGCAGGCGGTGACAGGGTATCTGTTTTATTCCCCACACAGCTCATGATGCAGGTCCAACCCCTCCCTACAAGCAGACGAATCTCCAACGCAGGAATCTCTAGGGCCTGTAAACTAAGAGCTGGTGATGAGAAAAGTCCGCCTACTCCTAAAACACACATTTGTGCACACACAGTATAAAACCACCACACCCGGTCCTTCCTTGTCTGCCATGAAAAAAGGCGGGACTGGGGTTGTAAAAATTCCAGGGCAGGTCAGGAGGATGGGCAAATCTGAAAGAGATTCTTGGCGGCAGGTGGGGCTCTGGTGGGGGTTCACCCACTTCCTCACACCAAGACCGGAGATTCTTGGCCATCCAGGTCATTGTGTAGGCACATACCTTTGCCTCCTCCGACCATCCACCTAGGTGAGTATTGTTCCAGTGGATAAGGATCCAGGGCCATAAAAGTTTCAAAATTTTAATGACCTGTTTACTGTTGGGGAAATATTTACCTTGGACAAATACAAGGCAGATAACCGGGGATAAAGGGAAGTACACTTATGTTGCAGTGGGTTTCTGCCTTAAGGGGGCTTTGGTGATCCTCAAGATGTGAGCTACATTAACACAGACAGCGTACAGTACCTTAAGTTCTTAAAACGCCAACTGCAAGGAGGGGAAGATAAGTTGGTCAGTAGTATTTGCCATGCAAACAAGAGGACCTCAGTTCCAGCCCAGCACTTTTGTAAAAAGATGGGCATGCAGCAAGCCTCAGGTCCCAGTTAGAGACCCTATCTCAAAACATTACACCTGAGACTGACCTCTGATGTATACGTATATGCACATGCGTACACACGCGCACATGCAGAAGCAGAATGCAAAAATAAACTGCACACACAGAAAGAGCATGTTATCTGTGTGATGCTCATGAAATAGGAGGAAATTAGGAACATCCTCTGGATTTGCTTTTTCTGTCTGTTGTATTTATCTCACTGGCTAAACAAATATGGTAAAACATTGATCCATAAACTGCACCCGGAAGACCAGGCTCCAGCCAAGGCCTGTTTGGCTTGTTGTTGTAATGGGCCCCAAGCTGAAAATGGTTTTTATATTTCAAGAGTGAAGAAAGGCCCAGTATCTTTAATCTGGCACTTAGAAGGCAGAGGCAGGTAGATCTCTGTGAATTCAAGGTCAATCTGATCTACATAGCAAGTTTCCAGGCCAGCCAGGGCTACATAGTGAGACCCTGTTTCAAAAAAAAAAGGAGTGGGAGCTGGAGAGCTGACTTAACAGTTAAGAGCACTAGTTGCTCTTGCAGAGAATCCGGGTTCGATTCCCAGCACCCACATGGCAGCTAACAACTATCCATAACTCTAATTCCAGGGGAATCTGATGCCTTCTTCTGACCTCTGCGGGCATTGCAGAACATGGGTGCAGGCATTATGCTCGTAAAATAAAAATAATAAATGAAATATTTTAAAATAATTAAAAAATTTTAAAAAGAGGGGCTGGAGAGATGGCTCAGTGGTTAAGAACACTGGTTGTTCTTGCAGAAGACCCTGGTTCGAATCCCAGCACCCACATCACAGCTAACAACTGTCAGTAACTCCAGTCCCAGGGGATCCGGCAGCCTCTTCTGACCTCCACAGGTATTGCATGACATGGGTGCACTTATCTACATGCAGGCAATACACGCATACACATAAAATAAAAATAGTAAATAAATTTTTTTAATTAAAAAAGAATGAAGAGAAGGAAAAGTCTACACTTGTAATATATAAATACGTATTTATTTAATCAGTCATTTTCACTACGAATATGCTGAACTCTAAAACAGAGGAGAGAGGTGTGAATATATACTTCCTACATTTGAAAAGACTTAAGGACAAACTGTGTGTAGACAAAATTTAAAATGTATCTGAACCAAGCTGGGTGTGGTGGCGCATGCCTTTATCCCAGCACCTGGGAGGCAGAGACAGGTGGATTTCTATGAGTTCGAGGCCAGCCTGGTCTACATATCGAGTTCCAGGCCAGCTGGGGCTACAGGGAGACCCGGTCTCAAAAAGAAAATGTATCCAAACCAAAATATAAAAATAAAAGGTTAACACCTATAATCCCAGCACTTGGGAGGCAGAGATACGAGGATCACTACAAGTTCAAGACCAGTCTTGTCTATATAATGAGTTTCAGGCTAGCCAGGGCTACAGAGCAAAACCTTGTCTCAATAAATAAATAAATATATTTTAGCTCTCATTCAGGAGGAATTGAGGAGCCCAGGGAAAAGTCACATTTCTTGGTGGCAATGTGAAGAAAACTTTGAATCTGAGCAAAAAATAAAATCTGAAAATTGTGCCACTTCCACACTATGTAACCAAAGGAATTTGACTTGAAGATCACTACAGCCGAATGGAAATTGCAAACTCTCAGGGCTTGTCCTCTTGTGTGTCAGTTATAACATCGATTCATTGATCATCAGGGAAGTTGCTGTTTGACATGTGACACAGTCAGGGTTAGCCTGGCAGAAAAATCTATCAGTGACTCACAAGGCAGGAAGAAGAAGCAAAACCAGCCCTCGACTTTATCAAGATGGTGTGGCTAAAACGCTGTCCAGTTTACAGCTGACACCTCGCATGCTGTTTGTGAATACCAAGCCAGCTGTGGGTAGTAATTCACTACCAGGTGATTGTGGCTCCAAACGGTTTCAGATAGATGATAAAAGAAATTTTGATTGATGATGATAGGGCCACACAAACAATGCATTCTGAAGCCTGTAATTAGGGGATACTCCTCTCAAGCACTTTCCGAAAATATCAACAGGCTCGTGTGAATAATGTAAGAATGAATCATGAGTAGCTAGCCACCCAACATATTTCCATGAGCAGACTAAAATTATAAAATTATGGTGTATGCAAAAAAAAAAAAAGAAGAAGAAGAAGAAGAAGTTCGAAAACAGTTTTAGTTAAACAAACATGGTTGCCAGCTTCGGAATTGATAAACCAGGGTTGGGAACTTAGGTTTGTTTCCCTGTTGGGTAAACGAATATCCAGCCCATCGTGCTGGTTAAGACTTCTATAAAATATGTGAGCCTTGTGCACACAGCCACCCTGTTCCACCACAAGGCAGGCCACCAGAGCTTCCTCTGGGATTCCCCCTCAGGCTCCTGTCACAGAGGTAGGTACTCCGTCATCTATAGGACAGGGCAGAAACATGATCAGGGGCTCCCTGAAAGAAATAGGGGTGAGGAGCAGGCTTCGGGGTAGCGGAGCAGTACCATGAAGTACTGGCATCTCCTGACCCTCTGGTCTCT